TGTGTGTATACTACTCTTACTTCATCGTCGTTCGTGGTATCAAATGGTCTGATTAAATGAGATAATACAGTAAATATATCATATTTACTTTTAACTAGTTTGGTAATTTGTTATAGGTTGAAATGTGATAATACAATAATAAATAATTATGCACCACGTAACTTCTAGCTTCCGCTAGTCTTTGTTAACAATAGTATTAATTAGAGACCATATGAAACCATTTTAACTGTATCAAATTTTCATTACCATCCATACATATGTGTGCTTCGAAATTTCATTAGTAGAAAACTATAAGAATCCAAAAGTTCCGAACTTCGTTATGGGAAATATACTATATACTGAATACAAACAGATATACAATGTACACGTTGTTAAGAAATCACTTTTTAATTACATTGTATTCACCATGATCATCGATACCCTTTGTAGAATAGTATATCGCAACCTTCAGATTCGTTATAACGTCAGTTAGCCATATGCTTCTCTTCTATATTCTTGAATTAGATGATGCACACTGCCGCGCTCTCAGTTCAAATGTTCAGTATTAAGAGCCGAATTTGAATGAAGTGGGAACGGTTTGTTGTGGGAATGCGAAACCTCCTCGTTTCTCAATAAGTTTTGATTCTTTAGCTGCTTTTCGTTGATCGGCGGTGACCACAATTTCTTGAAGTGCTTTCGTCTGTTCGGTGGTAAGAGCAGCAGTTAAAAGAGCATACCAAGCTGGATCTTGGTTGGACAGAGCTGCAAATAGATATGTACACTTTTTCTTAAACACATCTTCAAATAGGTGATGTATAGGTCAGCTTACCAGAAAAAACTTCCTTGAATGTAACATATTCATCAATCGCAGTTTCTTCTTCTTCTTCGTCGATTGGGGTAGTAAAGCCCTCAAGCGCAGTTTCGTTAAGATCATCGACAGATTCCTCTTCTTCATCATCAGAGTCTTCGTCATCTTTAATCTCTGCTTTCATTTCAAAACCTGCTTCTGCGCCTTTCGTTTTAGATATTTCTGCAATTTGTTCCAAATAGTTGGACGCGAATTCGTCAACTTCGTCTTCATCGCTTGATAATGCTTCTATTAATAAATAAAAGTTGAAACAGTTTACAATTGTTGGAGGTTAAACACATTTCCAAACCTTCGCAATCATCTTCATCATCTTCCTCCTCCTCCTCGTCATCTTCTTGTGCCCGCGATTCATATGCCCGCTTCAGTCCATCGAAAAGAAGAATGAGATTAGGTAAAATCTTACCAGCTACCTCGCTAAGAACTGGTGGCTTGGCGTCGCCCAATGAAATAAGCGTGCATAGTCCAAGTACGCAGAGTTTACGATCGTGAATTCTACGGTACGAATAAAATAATAAAAAATAATAAAAGTTTCGCTTGTGTACAAAGTTTACCCTAGGAAACAATCAGTATCATGAAGCCATTGCTTAATAAAATGTGATGAAATTGATTCGTTAGTTGGCTGAGACATTTTTTCCAAAATCGTCAGCAAAAGTTGTGGATTATAATAAAGCGCTGCTATTACGACCTGCAATGAAACATTTTAAGCGTGCCTTCAAGAATTATAAGGGAAATTCAACTAAACACGCAAAATGCCTCGTAACCACGTAAACCTCGTAAGCTTACTTAATTTTGTATGAAAAACTGGTTTATTTTCGAGATTTACGTGGTTCCCAGGCATATACGCATTTTGATGAATACCCACAAAAAAATTTTGTTTTGTGTCACCTGTAAACACATTGTTCGTAACTCGGATGACTGCACTTCGCGGGTTAGGCGCGACAAAGCCAATTCAACAAACATCGGAATTACAGAATCTATTTGACCTTTGCACTGCAGAATTATAACTTCAAGTAGTTTAGCGGCGTGGCATTCAGGGTCTTCGCCAGGGCTGCTTGTCAACATCTGAAGTACAATTAGATTAACAAATATTCGGTAGTATTTTTATAAACGATTTCCATACAGTCTTGCACATGTCGAACATAGCCAAAAGTCGATTCGGATTGGAAAGGAAAGCGGGCGTATCAACAGTAACATAATTGTGTAAAGCTGGCATAATATCGATAAAATAATCCACACCATCCTTTTTGAACACTTGATAAATCAGTTCCATCATCTGCCACATTTCAGGTGAAATTGCTTTCGCAGTTAGATCAAAAACTAACGAAAATGTCTCCTCATAAAAATCTACAATGGAACATTGAAAACTAATTAAATCTGCACAATTTTAGCACACCGTCACTAGCCACGAATAAAGGCGCAAACTCAAAAGTTGACCGCGAAAAAAGACGCAAAAAAAAACTTCATCGAAAAAAGGCGCGTAAACCTAGTTGACGGCGAAGAAAGACGCGTGGACTTATTTTCGCGGTCAACTATGTTTACGCGTCTTTCTTCGCGCGGACGTTTTTATTATGCTGCTTTTTTCGTAAATTTTTTTTCATACGTCCTTTTTTGGCGTCAAAACACGCGCGCGTCTTTATTCTTGTCTAGGGACGACCCAATCTCAACTTCAAATCATGTTCATAGCATGTATTTATTTGGGCTCAACATTTACCTGTGATGTTATTTTGGAATATGTGTCCAACCACATTAATTACAATTGGATGTAAATTTAACAAAACATCGGGATGATCTTCCATGACGGTAAGTAAGGTTTCGATTGTGTTCAACAAACCCATTGCAGTAATGGCCTTCTCATCGGAGTTTTCATCTGATTCTAGTACTTGGCTAAATGTCGTAGCCAAATGCTGGCATATTTCCATTGCCACTGGTAGCAATTGGGTTGTAAATGTGCACATAATTTTTTGCATGACATTGGTCAGATCTTCGTTTTCGGTTTCGCGAATGATGGTTAGCAGTTCTTTCGTGATTTCTTTTATTTGACTCTCCACGTATTGTGCAGCATCGTCATTGGTTGACAAGAACATCTGTAAGCCGATTGCTGCTTCAACTTTAACTGGCAGCTCTTTATCATTGAGCAATGCATGTATATTCAAACGCATGATTTCGGCCAACACTTGCGGGTTCTTGAGCTGGATATCGCAAAAATAGTGTAAAACCCAACACGCGCGGGCCCGCATGTGACCAGCAGGGTTATGGAACTCGGGAAAGACATAGGTTGTTAACATGGTTTCCACTTGGTCGCGATAAACACGCTTCTTAAGCAAAACATCCGCCAATGTCCCAATCATATGCAAAGCGCCATCTTTTTGTTTGTTATCTGCATTCGGCGAGGTTATGATCTGTTAGAATATAATGAGAATAGGAATGAGGTACAACTCTACTACTTTTATTTTAGATAGTATATTTGAATTATGAATTATCTAAACATTGGCTTGCATATACTTTCGGTGGGAAAAGCGTTGTTCATTCCCACTGTGCGATTTGCATTCGTTTATTATGGATCGATTACGGATGGCAACCGAACTTCACTTGCATTGTCAGTGGCTAAATGGTGTTACAGATGACAACTGGCAACTGAAAAAAAGGCAACTAAGTTGCTTATTGGCGACTGCATTTCTATGGTTGTCGCGGAAATTTTGTTTGAAAAAATTCCTTTTTTTCTTCAACTGTTTCTGCAACTTAATTAAACTAAAAAGTCTTATACTTAAAAATTCTATTATCAACAACTTTTTAGCACTTAAGTATAGTTGCTATTCATAATATAGATTTTCATTTCAGTCGCGTTGCCCATCGGCAACCCAACTGAGATTGCGTTGCTATTCATTATCCCACCCACTATTTTACAGTCGGCCACTGAGACAAATTTTTTGAGGTGATATCATATTCTTCGTCTGTTGAGGTTTAAAAAAGATACACAGTAACTATGTATTTACCAGAGTTGTGAAAAATTCACTATTTTTAAAATTAATGTTTTATTTTTTTGAAATTTAATTTTAGCGAAAATTTCAATGCATTAACATTCAAATTTTTTAATGAAGGCTATTGCAATAATTTATTGCATTAAGAGTATAACAAACATTAAAAACCCATTAACTAATTTTATTTTGAAGTAAAAATTCTTTGTTGACGTTGAGGGTAGAATTTTGAGGTCAAAAAAGATAGTGGCGGAAGTTAAGGTTGGTTTTCACTTTGTCAAGTTCAATGGAATTTGCCGTCAAATAGGTAAAAACGTATTGTCAAATGGAACTAAAAACGGTTTAGTGATTGATTTAGATCAGAATCACGATTGCCACATTTGGTCACTTGTGACCAAAATACATAGGTAACTTTTTGAGTGCTTGGTAACTTGGCAACTTTTTTTTTATTTTGGTACCTTTTGGTAAGTTTTCCGTGTACAAAGTCAGACTAAAAAAGTTGGACTAATTTGATAAAATGTACCAACGGTGGGTAAACGCGGCTCTTTGAACCGAATACGGCTTAGCAAAGTGCTTAGCAAAGTGCGGCTCTTTTTACTTTCTCTTTGCTTAGAGCAATTTGGCTGTTTTTACTTTTTAAAATATGTACATATTTCTTTGCTGGACATTCTTTTCCATTGTGTTGTTTTTATTATTTTTTATTCTGTTTTATTCTTTTTATATACATACACAAATTGAGATCGGAACATTACCCGCAATTGGAGAATGAAAATTGGCTTTCTGACTTAATGTTCTATACCCATATGACGAAACATTTGCAAAACTTGAATTTGTCTCTACAAGGAGAGTTTTGAAGCTAAACTACGTCTTTTTATTCATGATCTCAAAAAAAAAAAATATTTCATCATTTTCAATGGCTAGAAAAAAGTATTGCACATGATTTAAAAGCAGATTTTGAAAAGATTCGCCGATTTGAAATTATTTAAATGTACGTTTGCATACTGCATAAACCCTTTTTTTAGCTTCCTTTTATTAGCTCGGGATGTAGGCAGTACGCAGTTCTTAAGAAATTTACTACGCTTTCTACTACGGTTTTCTAAAGTTTTTTGTGAAAAAAGAGCACAGGGCAACCCAGGTTTGCAACAGAAATATATGCCCGTTCCATTATTTCTCGAGGAAAGAGTGAGGCAACAGGCTGTGAAGTATCAAAAATGTCAAAATTCCTTGGACACACACACGAAATAATGGCAAATTTTTCTTGACCGTTTCTTGAGAGCTGCATACAGGCCTTAAGAGGCTACACGTAAAGTTGAAAACGTTACAGAACTGCATACTCAAAAGGTTTCTAAAAATTCTGCTTTTTCGTGAACTTTGCGTGAAGTTTTATGGCCTTATTCATAAAAAATAAAAAAGGTTTATAAACTGAAAATGTCATTTTATTAAGCTCTTTAAACCTACTTTATTTTTTATGAATAACTTATTTGGTTTATGTTATGCAACAGACTACACGAAATTTCAGTTTATTTTAAGTGATGGACAAAATTGAATGATAGTAATCCATTTAAGCAAAGAAAATTGGGTTGCCAATGGAAGAAACAATTTAAAAAGTGAGTTTTTTTTTAAGTTTTCGATACTACGAGTACTTTGCAAAATATCGAGTAAAATCACCAAATAAGGTATCGAGTATTAAAGTACTCATTTTTATACCCTCAATATCGATAGTATCGTTCGAACCCTACTTAGAAGTAAGTTATTATGCGTTTAGTCAGTGAAGTGTGTCAGGATAAGACTTCGGCATTTGTTTTCTTACGTTTTCACTCTTATACTTTTGAATGTAAAAAAAAAAAATCTTTCAGCTGTTCGTCTAACTTGCAAGTTTCTGCAAATTTTCTGTTCGCGTACTATTTTGGATATATTTCTCTTGTGAGAAAACAGATGAAATTTAGCCGGAATTTTGCTGTTGGACATTTTTTACTGGAAATTTCAAACGAACGAAATTTCAAACCAACATTTAACAGAACTTTAACTGACGTAAACCAGATTTTGAAAATTTGGCCAAAGGGGAGGGCAGTGGAGATTTTTTTTCTTTTTTTATTTAATTTTATTTTTTTTTTAATAAATATTTTTTTTTAAATAAATTTTTATGATATTAAAGTAATTAGGTTTATTTCCTAATAAATTGTTGCTAAACTATTACTTCCTCGATTCATACAAAATATAAATTCATTAAATAGCGTCAAGCAAGTGAATGCGTGTATGTACATACATATGTATGGCATTGGTATTTTACGTCTACATTTACACAAATATATGGAATTATATCAAACTATAACAAATTTGGAGTATAATAAATATTTAATATTAAAAATAATGCAGCTTTCTTCCACTATTTTTAAGATTGAGTGATTTTAAATTTTGTTCCGACAGCATAATCTCGTCGTAGAGTATCTGTACGAATCTTCATTACGAACGGATTCAATGAAGGCTCTCTGCGAATTTCGAATTTACGTTCGTAGCCAATCGGATTCTGCGATAGCACTTTCGTAGATTACACGAAAGTCGAAGCTACGATGGATTATATGATAGCCCTGATTGGTTTTATTTTTGCAAACCTTTCCTCTTTCAAAAATATACAATTTCATAAAATTTCAATGTCTATTTATCATATTGATAGAGCGTTAGACGATCTAGAGTCCATACGCATAAGAAGCCCATTTGGGTACTTAAAGTTAACATTATAGACAATGTTTTTGTGTAAAAAAAATAATAAAAAAAAATTCTATAATCAAAAAAAATCAAGAAGAAAAATTTTTAATTTTTTTTTTGTTTTTTATACGTTGCGCATTAATCTAAAAAATTAAGATTTGAAGCCCATAATAAGATGGAAGAAATACATTTTTTTCATTAAGTTTCGTCAAAAGGTTTCCAAGATACAGCACTTTTAAGAAAGGTATGTATGACGTTTTCTTAAAATTTAAGTGTAAATAGGCAACCCTACGTAATATCGGCAAAATATGCTGCACGTATATTCATGCCACCTAGACCGTCAATTTCTTGCAACTTTCATCCAGATCCAGAGAGGTCGCGCCCAGAGGTGGCCGCGGTAACAGGAAATGCCTCAATAGGGCTTTTAGATATCTCAGCATCTGCGACGCCTACTGGAAATTTTGTTTCCCCTATGCACAGTAGGCACTTTTTTTTATATATACGATTATATATGCAGATGTAGTGGTATAGTAGTGAAATAGTTTATAGTAATAAGCAGAGAACGGATTTTATGGAAACTGCCTTTTTTTCTGCTAAAGAGAAAGAGTATATTCGATTAAGAATGTCCACGACTTAGCTTTTCCTGGTACCATATATATACATTTGATGTTACCTTTTTTAAGATATTTACCTTTTTTTGCCTATTGTACCTTTAAAAAAAAATCAAGTTGATAATAAAGAAACTCGATGGATAAATAAAGAAGTAATAAGTGGTCATATGAAAATGCGCAGATTTTTTTATGAAAAATTAGCAGGAAAGAATGTTACTCATACGCCATGTACAACTGAAAATATCTCGAAAACTTATTCATAGAATAAAAAAATTAATTCGATTTTGAGAATCAGCGAGCAATTCTATATGGGCCTGAGCACACTAGCCTGCTCAGTCGGACTGAGCAGTCCACCACTTGAACGCACACTGGACTGGGCAGTCGGCCGAAAACAGGTTTCAGTTTTGTATACATGAACTACGCATGATTGTGTTAGTGCATGTGGCACATCCCTGCAGTAATAAGGCGGCCAATTTTGCGTAAAGGACTAGTACTCACTGGTTAAAATTTGACTGGTCAGAATTGGAGATTTGCTTGCATCGAAAATGTCAGCCTTCGACCAGTCCCCAAGGAACCGGCCTAGAGATAGACGAAAAGTACAGTTTGGCAGTGACAGGGTGGTGTTGTCTTGCAATTAAATAAAAAAATATTTAAAGAACATCACCCTGTAAATGTCCTAATCGCTTGGTCTGGCCTTGATACAAAGTGAACATTTGAACACACATTGCGCAGAGATGCTTGGCACTATTTGTTAGCTTTCAGGAGGGTCCGGGTTCAAATGCCGTCAGAAGCAACATGGTTATAAAATGATACATTTTTTTTTTGTTTTTCCGAATTATGAAAAAGCATCTGCGAAGTGCAGAACGCAATCTTACTTCAACGAAAAAAATCTCCAAAATTGGACTAGTCCAGGACTATCTTACGGCCAGTGTTGATTGGACCGGTATTTTTCCAATGACACGCCAATGCAAAAAATGGCAGTTAAAACCATTGGCAGGGGAATTACGAGGGACTAGTGCTGGTAACAATACGGACGAAATAGAAAACATGTTGTCTATGTGTGCGTGTCAGTCCACCGTCAATCCGCGATTTTCGCGGACTGAAATGAGAGAGGTAAACTCGAACTCTCTTCCCCCATCTTATCCACACAAAACCGGTTTTAGGCGGACTGATTAGTCCAGTGTGCGGAGGCCCTCTAGGAATTGTGTATGTAGTGGCGTACGTTCTTCTTTTGCCTTTTTTGCTATTTCTAGTGCCTTTTCCTGCCTATTTCGCTATTTGATTTTGCCTTTTCCAGCCTATTTCATTATTTTATTTGGCCTTTTTATAGGTTTTTAGGTCCTAAAAATCCGTTCCCTGGTAATAAGTAATGACAACTACCTGCATTATTATATTCATGGCTTTTGGTAAAATTCCTTTCCGTTTTTTGCAACAAGTGTGTAACAATGATTGTGCTGCTGGCACCGGTGTTGCGTAGTCCTCAAAGATATCTAAATGTATAAAGTA